CTATCTGCTTGTTCCAATTCCTTCAAAGTGACGGGTTGTGTTCTAATCCGCCAGTCATCACGACTACGTTGGTATCGCTTTTGACGCTCTTGTGTAGCCTCTTTGCTGCGGGCCAGGTCGGTGAGTTTAATGAAAAGTTCCTCCTGAGGTAGAATGCATTTCTTATTCTCATTTTCTGGAGGCATTCTGGGAACAGATCCAAGCCTGGAAAAGATTAGAAAATAGAAATAATTAAAAAAAAAAAAAGAAAAGTCCTCCCGCCCAATAAAAAAACACCCTGATCTTAAATTTTAAAATTTGATTTAAATTAAAAGAAAAAAGTATAAAGATCCATCAGGTGTTGATATGTCGTTAAGCTAACAAATAGAATTATTCCAGCAAGCATCTTTCTCAGGTGAAAATTGTATCTGTTAACATTTTGCATATTTCAAACCGAAATACTTGGAGGTGGTAAGAGGTATGTTGTTATTTGATAAAGGTCAATGTCTTTTTGGTCAAGACTGGAATCACGATTCTTTTCTCCCACTTGTGTAGCTCCTTTCCATTTATAAAAGCCCAACACCCCACGACACCAACCCAATAAAAAAAAGTAACACATTGATCTTGAATTTTAAAATCTGATTTAGATTAAAAGAAAAAAGTAAGTGACATAGAAAGCATTTTTCAAGTTAGTTCCATTATGACTCTTTTGCTTCGAGTAGTTTTCCAAAATAATTTCTGTATATCTGACTATGAGAAGCTAGTGTAATAATTCTTGGCATGGAAAACAAGCAGAGTTCAAATCCTGGTCTAATCTGTTGCATTCATTTACAAACTAATGTCTTGGGAACTACATGAATCTATATTCTCTCCCTCTATCTAAGGTTAAATAGCAGGGTAGACTAGCCATGGCAACCTTGAATGGCAACTAAGAGAAAGAAAATTGAACTCCCACCCCATAAGAAACTATTACACTATATTTCCTAAAAAGTCATGGTAATTGATAGTTAAGAAAGAAGAGAAGTATGTTGAAGGCCATGCTTGCCTATGTCTTGAAGGGACATGACATTTATTTTAGTTTAGCAGTATATCAACATCTCTATGGGTTGAGAGAGGGTAGCGACCATGTCTCTCACACCATTCCTTGTTACCGTCTCTGTTAAATTACATAAACTTAATACTATCTGTCAAAAGTGTAAATTTTTATTTCATTTTTCGTTTCACCTTTTGGAAGTGATGTCTGATGATCCAAGGTACTTTAAAAGGTCTCTGGTGAAATAAACTATTACAATGGAGCCTTAAACTGGTCTGTTTTCTTTTTAAATTATTAGCTCTGAATTTACATTGAGCCTCAGGATTTCATCCTCCTAGGGACTACCCATATGGATTACCAAGTTTTTCGTAATATATATATATATATATATATATATATATATATATATATATATATATATATATATATATATATATATATATATATATATATATATATATATATATATATATATATATATATATATATATATGTATATATATATATATATATATATATATATATATATATATATATATATATATATATATATATATATATATATATATATATATATATATGTATATATATATATATATATATATATATATATATATATATATATATATATATATATATATATATTTATAAGAGGATAGAATATATATATAGCAATATTTTATATTTATATTTTTAATTTTAGATCTGATGAATTGTATATGCAATATTTTCTGATTCTAATTTTTAATAAATTATAACCATGGATTATTAATGTGTTTTATGGATTATTATATATATATATATATATATATATATATATATATATATATATATATATAAGGCTCAAATCCATAATATATATATATATATATATGAAGAAACATAGTCTTAAGGTGTGCTATATTTATGGGATAAAGTGCTCAATATCATGTGTAAATCAATTGCGTCTAGCATGAAACAGACTGTCGCCTCTAAGTGTTGACTTCATTGTTCACTTTTTATATATATATATATATATATATATATATATATATATATATATATATATTGTAATTGTAATCCATTATTTAAGAGCAACTTTCTTCATTGAGTAAAATGGTCTAAAAGAATCAATGGACAGATGACTTTATTTTAGAAATTGAAACATATCAGCCAGGATCCGACACATGACGATATGAGAGAGGAAAAATCTGCTTAACACAAATGACCAACCAAAGAAAGCTGATCTCTCTACGTGCAAAGATCTGAAGCATATTCCATCTGGTAAAATATATATCTAAGCATCAATAAAAACTGGAAAAGTGTCCAAGAGCAAAGCAGAACCTAGTGAAGGGGGAGGAATCCATCAGAAGCTATGCACAATATATAATCATCTGGAAGAAATCATTGCAGGGATCCCCAAATCACACAGGATATGGACAAAACTAGAATCAAAACAGATTTTTAAAAGCTGAACCATCAGGAATTTGAAAGAAGGTAGAACAAAAATTTTAAAGGCTGAAGATAAAACAAATAATGTTCAGCAAAAATATGTTAAAACAATTATCAAAAGAAAGAGAGAAAAAAATTGTCAGAAAGAATATGTGAGAGAGAGAGAGAGAGTGAGAGAGATCTGTGAGGAAGACAACAAAGATAAAAAAAAAAAAAGGTACAAAAGAATCAATGTATAATAATAACATCCCATGTCAAAAATTCATTCAGAAAGGTCAAAGGGTATAGAGGCTAAAAATGTTGTGATAAAAACAACAAAGACAAGGAGACTAGTTCAAATGAATCAATGTTAATAGTAAAAACACTTAATCAGAGAAATAAGGTCAAAATGTACAGTGGCTAAAACTGTTGTGATAAAAACAACAAAGATGAGGAGACTGATTTGTTTTTTATGGCTTAAACTATTCTCTTTTAATCATCTGAGAGAACCCGTTTTATTTTCACAGTGTTATGGGATCTTACCTATAACAATAATAATGGACTATTCCATACTTAATAAATACTGCACCTCAGGAGTAGGCAAGGGGTCAGTTAGTAGAGTCAAGAGTCGAGTCAGAGGCAGTCCAAAACAGAGTCGCGTTCAGACAATTACTGCAAGACATTGGAATAGTGATATTGGTCGAGACTACATTGTTCTCTCTACTAAACCTGATTGTTCATACTAACACTTCTACTTCTCTGTATATATTCCTGTTTGTAATATATCTGTGTTATTCCATACCTGTGTTCGAGTTCTTCTTTATTGGTTCTACCTCGGACTATCACCGTGGTACAAGGACATGGACCATAACACAGAGCATGGCTGATGCTAACCTCCAAGAGAGTGACTCATTTCACCTTCTTGGATTAATGTTTTCTGCTGACATAAAGTGGAAAGATTATATTGAATCCATTGCTACGTCTGTTACTAAGAAAAGTGGTTCCAATATCATGCTAGACAATTTTTCTCATCAGAAACTATATTATATATTTATAAATCTACCATTCGTCCTTGCTTTGAATAGTGCTGCCACATCTGGTTTGGTGCTCCTGCTATATATTTCGAGATTTTTGATAAGATCCAAAAAAGACTCTGCAATGTTATTGGCCCTGAACTGGCATCTCAGCCTCAGTCACTTTCCCACCACTGCAATGTAGCTTTCCCTGTGGCTTTTCTATAAATACTTTCATAGTAATTTTTCTGATGAGCTTTCCACCATGGTACCTAGAATTTAAGTGCAGTACTACATTACCGGAAAGGTCTCATCTTTTTGCAGGTGAAATGGCGAGATAGAACCGTAGGTTTCAAGTTAACAGTTTCTTTGCTATAATCATCTCACGAGATTTATCAAGAATTTCTTCTTTTATTTTGTTTAATAATTTCACACCAAGCAAGGCAAGAAAGCCACTAAGACACAAGGAGGTTATCGAGTGCTAGGGAATATGAAGAAAAAAAAAACACTATTAAGAAGAGAGAACAATAAAAGAACAAGAATTAAGAAGACAGAACATAACAATTGACATTGCATTTAAACTTTTGATAATCATAGTTGATTGGAAAGCATGGAGCTGGAAGAAAATTCCTTGAGACATGCAGTAGCCATTTCGACTGTAAAATAATGAGACCTAGTTGCCAATCTAGTACTGCGCTTAAATTCATAAAGTCTAGGTACCAAATAAGAAAGCTCACCTGATTACTATGAAAATTTTCTCAACAGTACAAATCTCATTAACATTAATAAATACATTAGATAATGAATTAATTACATTAATTTCTCATATGTTTGTGATCTGCTCACAAAATTTCTCTAACAAGTAAATAAATGTACAAATAACGACCTTTAAAAAAAATCATTTCACTCCCTGCAAGGCAATAATGTCACTAAGACTCAAGGGGTTACTCGGAGTGAAAGAGAATGAGAAAACTTTAGAGAGGAGAAATGACAATAAAAGAACAGGTTTCAGGAAGACAGAAGATGGTGTCTGGCATTTAAATTTTTGAAGGTTTTAAGTGGTAGGGAAGCAAGAAACCGAAAAAGATTTCCACAGGTGAGAGCACAAGGAAAGAAATTATCAGAATAGAACTCATGGTTTCTATTTCAACAGTAAAATGATGAGACCTAACTGGCAATCTAGTATCACATTTAAATTTATGCAGTCAAGGCACCAAGGAGGAAAACTCATCAGAACAACTGCTATGAAAATATTTGTAGAAAAGACAAGGAAGCCATGTTAAGTCAGTGAGAAAGTGACTGATGGCGAGATGCCAGGTAAGGACCAATAACATTACAGATCCTTCCTTGGATTTTCTGAAGAATTTATATATATATATATATATATATATATATATATATATATATATATGGAGTAGGCACCAGATCAGATTTGATAGCAATATTCAATGCACGGTCAAATGGTAGAATTGTAACTGTCCAAAATGGATTCTGACAAGGATTGTCTGGTACAATGCAATGAACAAACTTTTCTAGCAGTAAGGGCTTGTAATTGATTTAATATAATCAATTCACTTCATATTATGTGAGCCCAAGAAGGTGCAAAGAGTTATTCTCCTGGAGGTTAGCATCAGCCATACTGATGGAAGGTAGAAAAGGTTCTCTATGGGGATTAATTAAAGCAGTTTTGTTTTGGGACCTTAAAATTTACAAGTGGACTTTTTGAGAGCAGTTGCCAGTTTTACTTTGTTGGATCTGTCAGACTTCCTACTAAAACAGGAGTAAATACTTGTGTCACCAGCATAACTACATAGTTGGGAACTGATGACATTCCTGTTGTGAAAATCATGTTGGTAGTGTTGAAATGTGGCACATTTTACACAGGTTAGACAACAACACAGTCCTCCATTAAAAAAAACTTTTGTCCAACTCTGGTTTCTACAACAAAGGCAATAAAAAATTAATTCCAGTTGCTTAACTGAGTTATTTCCCTTTATTTGTAAATTTCATCAAATATCAAGCAATGATTATATTTGAAAATTATCTTGATAAAGAACCGGAAAAAAAAAGTGCAAGTAGAGATTTTTTTTTTTTAAATTTTATAAGTATTTGTTTTTATAGCTAACCACTATTGTAAAATCATATGCTGTTCTGATGAACATATATATATATATATATGTGTGTGTGTGTGTGTGTGTGTGTAAAAAATTAAGATATATATATATATATATATATATATATATATATAAGAAATATCTGTAACAACAATATAAATAAAAGACTAAAGGAAAACTGTTCTTTACCAATCTGTTTTATCACCTGTGGATCAAACATACTGGTAAAATTTTCCTTTTGTCATTATATATATATATATATATATATATATATATATATATATATATATATATAATTATTTATTTAAAATATGATTCCAACATGCTACATAAGAGTTCTGTTTCAAAACAAGAGCCAAAACTTCAATATAATTATTTGAATTAAATTGAATTAAAGTACTAAGCTCTGTTTCATCTTCAAGCAAAATTTATTTTGGAATGCTCTACTTTTGTATCGAGCACTATTTTTTAAAAATAATAACAAAAATACTAAAGAATTTTGGATTATTTACCTAACAAGTTCTTTCCTATTTTCTATATATTTTTCACACACACACACATATATATATATATATATATAATGTATTTAGGCAGCAAATGTTCTTAAAAACAACAGACATTTTGTGCCCATTATTTTTATTGATTGACATTTCCAAATTATGAACAATCTTTCTCAGATAGAGGAAATTCATCAGAAACTGTAATTTTGCAAGAAATATGGTGCAATCTTTTGAATTTCTTAAGTCATCATCATCAGGGTAGCTGGAGGCAAATAGTAAATATTGTAGAACTGGGGTGAGTGGAGTGACATAAGCAAAGCATAATGTGTCACATTTATGTTTGTAAGGGTATATATATATATATATATATATATATATATATATATATATATATATATATATAGAGAGAGAGAGAGAGAGATGGATTGATGTTAAATATGTGAGCTCTATCACTGATATTGAGTGATTTCCAATAAGTACTGTGCATATATATATATATATATATATATATATATACACACACATTTTATACATATATATATATATATATATATTATAAATTTACTAATTTAAAAATATGGTCCCATTGCTACACAGGAATTATCATGTTTCAAAAAGAAACTAAAACTTTAAATTTCATTATAGTATTAAATTAAAATCCCTAGTACTGTTTCATTTTCAAGTGATTTTTGGAATAACTTATTTTTTAAATTTACCGAGTTTATATGCACATACATTCTTGGTATTACTTGCTGAGGTTACAGAGAAATTCAATCATTTTGATAAGGGGTGGTAGGGTATTCATTTTCATAGACAACTATTGTATCAAAATATAAGTTACTTTCAAAATCAGGTTAAGTTAAGGTAGGGGTGCCTGTTCAACAAATGATGACATCTGTTTTTCACATATCTGTTTTTTTTTTTTCTTTTTCAATGACAAAAATTTTTTTAGTATTTTTATTTTGCTGTTGAATTTATAATTTTATACACAAAGTCTTTTTTTTTTTACAAAAGGGTCATTTGAATATGAGTACATCGTATTTCTAATATTTAAAATCTATTCCAACAATTTCAAATTATTACTCCTACTTCTAACAACTAATAGACCATATCTAACGTATTCTGTAATTTAGTTGAAAATTTATCTGAATATTTATAAACTCTAGATTCTTATTCTATGTGCTCTTCAGATCATTGGCAATAATGACTTTATAATTACCTGTTCTTTGTAACTCTTAATTAATTTTGCCTTTGTTATCTTTCCTGAACTCTGTTCTGATATCAAACTCACAAGGTAATTTTTGCATTGTTTTCCTCTGTCCCTCTTGCCTTCAATATGTTCTGTGAGTATCAAATTTTCCAAGGCCTCTCTCCTCATTATGTGCCCCAGAAATTTCAGTTAAGTTTTTTTGATTCCCACTATTGTCCTCATCTTTGTTTCCATATTTATCACAACGTTTCAGCCATTGTATGCTCCAACCTTCTTCAGGTGGTTGAAATGTCGAACTGAACCCTTTATTTCGCTCACTGGGGTAGACTGTTCTAGTTCCACATGCCATGTCTAATGGATGTCAGTTATCAGTTATCTCCTGTTAATTTCCCTCTTCAAGTTCTCCACTGTCTTAACCGGGTATTGAACTCTCACTCTTTGGGTCCTGTCACGGGATCTAACTAATGCATTTATCAACTGTGCCATGTGAACATCTGTGTATGAATTTCTGGTTATTATAAATCTAATGTCTTCAGCAACCTTTTTTTTTTTTTTTACCAGTGCTCATATTGCAATTTTTGCTGTTATCATTACAAGTTTTTACCAGAGCTCATACTGTAATTTTTGTTGTTATTATCACTTTTTCTCTGGCACTCCTTATTACTGGTTCCCATATTGTATTCATTTCTATGCTTGGTTGGCTCAGGAGTTTTTTTTTGGCCTAGCATATGTGCTGATTCCTTAAGTTTACGAATTTTCCAATGATGTTCTTTGTCGATGATTTCAACCTGATCCCACAGATGGCGGTGATCTCCCTTCTCTCTCCATATGTGATCAGCCATGCCTGATTTTTCCACTTCCCCTCATGTTACAGCTTTCTAGTGTTCTTGAACCCTTACCTTAAGAGGGTAGCCTGTCTCCTTTACATTTCTTTCCACAGCTGCACAGGATGGCGTACACACAGTCGTTAGTCATGTTCTCCTCTATGGGGGGGGGCTTACTCGGGAGAGATATCTGCGAAGTGTCGTCCAGATTTTGAAGGTATTTTTTGTATTTTTTTCATCCATGTATAAGTGTCTTTTTTGTTTCCATTTTCTCTAAACCTTCATTATTATTCGCATGTTCAGTCCATGGTATTCTCAGCATTTATTTATTTATTTTTTTCTTTTTAAAGCTTTTCACCCCAAACAAGATGGGAGTGCCACTAGCAAGGAGTTACAGAGAGTGGAAGCACTAGTAAAGAGGTGTGAAAGAGCAAAGTATGAAGAGAAGGACAGCAAATAGATCAAAGATCTATTGCCATATAGGAGGACCGATATTACAGTTCAGTACTCTTTCCTTTGTTACTAACAAAATTTACTACTTTTTACTACTTAATACTTTGCTTAGCTTTTGGAAGGCATTTTTCGCTATCCTAATGCATCTTTGAATTTCAGTGTAACACTTGCTTTATTTTGCTATCTCCAATTTGTAATTTGCTCTTCCTTTCGCAAATAACCAGGCATTCTATCTTCTTACAATTGATATTTAGTCCTTTCTTCTCCTTTTCCTTCATTAATTTCTGTACGAGTTTCCTTTCCATGTCTGCTATCAACACTGTGTCATCTGAATATCTTATGCTGTTAAGATTGTAGCTGCTAATAATGAATCCTGGTAGGACTTTGCAGACTCACCTTACTGTATAGGTCAAATACATCTGGTGAGAAGATACATTCTTGTTTCACTCCTTTTTAATTTTTGTATATTTACCGAATTCATTTTCTACCTGTATGCAGGTAGTTTACTGCTAGTATAGATTGAGGATAATTCTAATATCCTTCCCAAATATGTCAAGGTTACCTAGCAGCAGTAAGAACTAAGATCACTACAGGTGTAATGGTCTTTGAGACTAGTTTGAGGCAACCCCATTCCTATATATATATATATATATATATATATATATATATATGCACTTCACTAAATATATACTTGCGCACCTGCATATTCAGCCTGATTGTCTGAGGTATAGTTAAACAAGATCTGAACAAACACAGTTACAGGATAGTATATAATGAGAAGGTAAGTATGGAATGACAAAGCAAATGTTTTAGTCACACCATAGTATCAATGTGTGTTGCCAATAGACACACATGTAATGATATCAGGTTTTCATGGATGTGGGGTGGTGATCTGTGGGGGAAAGCATTCATATTTCATCATTAGACAGCATGAAAGACAGAAGGGTTACTATTTTCGTAGTGGCTGATTCAGGCACATAGAATCCAACTGTACAGTGCTCATTATAGTTTCATTTATTTGCATCAGGTACATATAAGATCCCCCACCCCCAACCTGCATATTCAAAGAGAAGATGACAAGGAAAGAAATATTCCAGGTAAAAGGAAATCCATGTTTGCCTTAATTGGTTAACCTGATTTCATCAAAGAAGATATGAAACTTTTTGCAAAGAGCCCAATATGGCTGCCCTAATATAGTGAGAATGAAATATTGGACAGAACATGTGCAATGTTAATATAAACTTATGACAGACATAGGAATTGGTGAATACAATATAATAAATTTGTACAAATAACCAAATTCTTCATTCTTACAGCCTATCATATTGAAATGTCTGTTCCCATACAATCACTGAAGTTAAGCAACATTGAGCCTGTCAATACCTAGATTTGTGACCACTTGGGAATACCAGGTGCTGTAAGCTTGGATGTGTGGGAAGTGGAATGGATAATGGCTTGGAATTGTTCATTGGAGAATTCATTATATTCACTTATGGACAAATACTCTTGAGAAAGGTATTAATCCACTTCCTCTCCCTTCAGCTATAGGTTAATTAGTTAGACTTGTAGCAAACCATAGTTATCTAAAAAAAAAAAAAAAAAAAAAAAAAAAAAATCCCAAAATATTTTCTGGCTTTAAATAACCTGCAAATAGGTTGATAAGCCATAACAATCTCCCAATCTTTATTGAATACAACACTAGAGGGAATAGCTGCAATTTATAGATTTGCACATGCATTCAGTCGTTAAAAAAAATTGTTTCTACTCATTAAATGCACTCCATGATGACATGTCTGCAGACATTTAATAAAACATAGAAATAAATAGAAGTGAAAAAGTTTAGTGCTGTGTAATGAAGCAGACACACACACACATATATATATATATATATTACTTATATATTATATATGTTCAGTACTTGTTGGAAAGTGCTCAATATCAGTGATAGAGCTAACATTGAATTGATGTGAGTTTGTAACCCTGGGTTTCACACAATTTGCGATCATCAGACAAACTGTTTAATTTTTTAAATTTTGGATTTATATATGGTTGCGTATATCGGTGTTTTTATGGAAGTGGGAGGAAAAATTGTCATCGGAACACCACTCATACTTACACAAACAATTTTTCCTCCCACTTCCATAAAAACAAAATTTTTCTTAACTGAAAGTCTCATAAATTTACAGTTAAGCTGTCTAGATGTAACTGTAAATTCTATGCTAACAGTTTCTTTCTTGTGGAATTTTCTTTCAGCTTCTTGCTTTCAACTTTAATTGTCAAAAGTTTAAATGCAATGTCAATCACTATCTACTGTCTTCCCTGATTACTCTTTTGATCTTGCTCCTTAATAATGTTCCTGTTTTCTAATTTTTCCAAACCCAGTAACCTTTTGTGTCTTAGGGGCTATATATATTATGCCTTTAAATTTTTTAAGGAACATATGACCACAAGATAGTGTTGCAGTTTCTGTAACAAACCAATAAAAAGTGAACAGGTTGTTAGCCTTCTGCACAACCCCTCAACCTGAAGGGTTTTTTGAATTCAGAGTTGTCTTTCTCCTAGACCAATTGCCAACCAAGGCTATAAAACCCGGTCTGTCCTGCTATTTACCCACAGCTTGGGGGAGAAGAAGAGGATTCATACCTTCCCCAAGGGTATTAGCATAAAGTGAATGTAATGGATTCAACTGGAATTCAAACTATATATATTTGTTGGACGGCTTCGCTTGTCACGTTTGCTATGTCAAGTGAAATCTCGTTATCACTTAAAAAAATGCTTGTTATATTCCAGACTTCATAGATGCCGGTACGAGTAGTAACGCCTTCCAATAATATCTGCACTAGTAATACTTGTTCAAGTAGTAATCGCCAAATAGTATAATAATCAGAAGAGAATCGTAATCTGTATAGTAATAGAGTAGAGAGAGTGAACATATATCAATAATGGATAGATAAGAAGAGTGAACAGTGAACGTATAGTCATCACGTTACTTCCTATTTATTCACTTCTTTTATGATCACGTGATGTACTTAATGAAATCACCCATGTTACTCACTGGCGATATAGTTTCAAACCACAGCGTTGGCAACAACTCCCTTATATCAAAGAAGCAATATTATTGGTCCTGACCTGGAGTCTCTGATTCAGTCACTTTCCCACCACCATCAAGTTGCTTCTCTGTGCCTTTTTATAGAAAAGGCACAGGGAAGCAACTATATAGTAATTGTTTGGATGAATACTTTGCTATTGTACTTAGACTTTTTGAATTTAAGTGCAGTACTAGATTAGCAATGAGGTCTCACCGATTTACAGTTGAGCTGGCTAGATGTAACCCTAAGTTCTATGCTAACAGTTTCTCTTCTCACACTTCTTGCTTGTGGAACTCTTTCGGTTTCATGCTTTCCAGTCAAGTTTAATTGCCAAAACTTTACATGCAAGGTCAATTGCTTTCTACTTTTCTCCTCTCTTTTGTTTTTGCTCCATAGTAATGTTTTCATTTTCTAATTCTTCATTTCATTGCAGACAAAATTAGCAAATTTTTCTCAACTGAATTATCTATCTTCAGATGAACATTCAGCAATAGAAAAAAAAGGGACAAAATTGTGATGGAAGTGATACAGGATATCATAGTGGACTGGGTGAGACAATCTACTGGGGGAGGACAAAAAGTTAGGGATGGGTGTCGTCATAAAAAGAAAAAACATGCAAAACCCAACTGGTGATAAAATGTTGAAACAATAAATTAAATCTAAATTTGTAATAAATTTGCATAATTTCAATTTTGTGACATCAGATTTAATGTTTTCAATACACTTTTATAAGGTTTGAAAAACTCATTTAAGTAACACACTAATCAATTTACTTCTGTCTATATTTCTGCGATAAGTTACTGCAACTATTTACATTGTTCAAGCTGTTTTCCTCATCTTTATTGTCATACTCACAATTTTTCAGCCATTGTATGTTCTGGCCTTCTTCAGATGATATTTGTTAGAAATTTGAATTAAAATTTATTTAATCCATGGGGGTCAGTCAGTTAAGTGCCACATGTGATACATGCTTGGGTGATCTTGTATCTTTTGACTGACAAGGCAGAAAATATTTTCCTGCAGTAGGTCACCATTTCTTTCTGCAGTAGACTGGTTGCCAACCATAGCTGGCAGGAGAAGAGATGGGTATTTGTGTCTATAACAAACTTGATTGGGATTCGAACTCAGCAACCCAAGATGTCATTTTGAGCCCATATCCATTACACCACAACTCTAGATAGATTTCTTTAATTCCATGTGGCATGTCTCAGTTTTAGTGAATTCCCTTTGGTAACTGAACTTTTCCAAGTTCTTGTTCTCTCTGCTGCAGCCAGGGATTGATTTCACAACTCTTTGGGTCAAGTCACTTTTGGATCAATCAGCCAACACTTTTATTCACCGAGCCATATGCCCTTGGAGACACATGGCCCAGTGGATAAGAAGTGTTCAGCTTGAAATTCAAACAAATATAACCCGCAGAAGGCAGCCAAAACATTGTGAATATCGCAATAAAAATGAGGACAACAGTTCGAACAATGTAAACTGATTTACTGTTTTACATAAATTATGAAATAAGTAGTGAAGTAACCATTCTAAGTAATGCAGTTAATCAAAATAAGTGCTGTATAATTTGACACAAAAAATAATAGGTAATTTTAAATAATTCCAATTTCAATGAGAATGTTTAAGATGTGGATGATTATGGCTCTCCATAACTTCCTATCAATTGTAGCTCTAATTTTTGTCTTCTTAGTATCCCTCCCAGTTCATTTTCAGGGATACCTTGCCCCCTGCACACCCCACTCCAAAGACACAGTTGTAGTGTTAAAATCAATTCATTCATCAATAAAAAATATTGAAATATTAAATTCAGTCAGAATTAAGATATGCTCCCACTTCCCATTCCAAAAGTACTTTGTCCATTTGGTAAGTTATAGCCAGTCAGTTGCAGCAGAGGTGTTGCATGCATCAACTTACCTTGATCTAGGCGTCTTTGGCGTGGTACACCCAGATGTTGACACACTGATTTTTGTCTCCATTTGTGAGATTCTCTCTGCCACAGATAATGGTTTCTCTTCACATTCTTCATCTATGATTTCAGACAACAAAGAATTTGGGCTGAAAAGAAAAAGAAAAGAAACAATTAAATACTGAAGTCAGAGTTTGAAATTAAAAGCCTGCAAATGATGCCAAGGTTTAACTAAAAGACTTTTGTATTTGATAGCTCTTAGGCACAGATTTTGAAATAAATATGACAAGAGCGACAATATTGTGAGAATATAGGCAGAAGTAATGGCGGAGTATGCCTGCCTACTAGGTTAGTGTTATAGTGGAACACACCTATTCTACTGTTAATAGACTCTCCCACCTATAATAAGTAGGAGTAGTAGGAAGTCGCTCAGTGAGTCGGTCAGTCAGTCGACTGGCTGATCGGTTGAACTCTCTGCCTTTGGGCAGGAAGGAACCCGAAGGAGGCTACACCGAAAGGCGGATTCTCTTTCGGGGAGGTAAACCGACCCTGAACCCGTTTATATGGGTTCAATGGGCATATTTTTGGCTGAGCCCACAGGCTCAGAGATCCCACGTTAAAAAGGCCTTGTGCCACATGACATCCTGGGGGGGGGTGACTAAATATCGTTGGTCAGTCAGTCAATGTTGGACGACCGTTAACCGGATACTAAAAGTATCAGCGACCACCACTAGATTTCTCTGCATCATTACCTATTATATCAAGTTCCTAACGTTTTGTACGTCGAACCTAATTTAGGACCGACTTAGTACAAATACAAGCCTCCACTGTGAAACTACTCTACAACAGTTAGCTAGCCAATCTCTGTTGCAGATGTCTGCCCAGGTACCTTTGTATTTGTTCAACCCCCACAGAATACACCTGTGGTTTACAGAGCGACTTAGTTACAGTTTATGCGAGAGAAGGCTGGTATGCTCAAACCCTCAGTCACAATGCCTTGTAACTTCATGCTTGCACAACCATCAACATCTCCCAAAATTTCACTAACAAGGCTTGGGTCAACAAGTATGGTTTTCAAGCATTTTCCAAAAGGTCCCACATGCTGGGATCACCTCCACAAGCAGATAACATCATTAGTAACCTTCCTGAAAAATCAACCACAACGAGATCCAAACCCAAGTTTCATGGTCACAAATCAGATGTTGTAACCACTCAGCCACATAATCAAATATAAACATATACTTAAGTTTAAATATGGGATTAAAATATCCATTGTTTTCTTGGCAGAGGGGGGGTGTCGGTCAGGCACTCATCAATAAAGAGCACTGTTGGCTATTGTTGCTAGGCCCATATCACATGCAGACATATTTGTACCCACCCACAAGCATACACAATGGTCCCTTGATTGGCAAGCAGTGACTTTTGTGTTACTGAAATTTGAATTTTTCCACTTTTTATAAATAAGATAGATTCCCTTGTGCAACCAAAAAGAAGAAAGTCAATTCAAAGCCTAATTATGTGGTTGGGGACTTTCAGATGTAGCACTCCAGATACTTTCTGAGCGACTGATCGGTTCAACTCTCTGTCTCCGGACGGAGAGGAACCCGAAGGAGGCTACGCCGAAGGGCGAAGTCTCCTTCGGAGAGGTAAAACCGGCCCTGAACCCGTTTATACGGGTTCAAATGGGCTATTTTTTTTGGCCGAGCCTAATGGCTCGGGAATGCCCACATTAAAAAGGCCTTGTGCCGCATGACACCCTCGTGGATGGGTGGCTGAATATCTCAGATGTAGCTCAACTTGCTGTGTTTATCACAAATGCATAATTATAGATTTGGGATTTATTAGACAGAAAAATAATCAATATCTATTTGAGACAACATTTCTCAACATAATCTTCTTCCTTGACAAGGCATTTAATTCAGTGGTCAATGCTAAAACATAGATTAAACATTATACATTAAAATAAAATTTCATATTTAACACATAACAAGTCAGGTTGTAGGCTTACCAGTAAGTATTGCAAGATGGACAGTAAGAATCTCCATCTATCCAATTTTGTCAAGAGTGAAATTTTATAAAGAAAAATACCCAAAATATCCGAAATAAATTTATTCATTTATTTTTTTTTATAGCTTATCAGTTTGTGGGTCATTTTCCCTGTCCCCAAAAGGTTTTTAAAGAATAACTCATTATTGTCAGTGAGTATTATTTACTTTTTAACAATATATCAGAGATTATGATTTTTCCAGATACAAGTCCTACTACTTAATCTATAGTTTGGGGAGTAGAAGAAATGGATGAATAGCTTTTCCCAAAGATATTTGGCATAAGTTAATGTAATGACTCTCTGATCACCCCAAGCTGCTATCCATTACAACTCCCCACCCAGCACAAGGCAGGAGGTGGGGGCACATCCGGCAGTGGTGGTGGGGAAAAGGGAGTAGGTGAATCCTAAAGGAATGTTGTCTGACTGCATAGAAGATTGGCAAGTCACATCCGATTTCATATTATGTTTGCATTTCCAACTGAAATCTTTTCAACAGACACTTTTTGTTATGTTATGGTAAATTCAACATAGTGACCATTGTCAAGCGGACATTGAAATTTGAATGTACTTTCGAAAAAAGTACAAATACATCTCATACATATAAAATAATCATGATTAAATCAAAGATGCTCTTTGTGGAGGCATGCTTCACTGAATGTGATGAACAAGGAAAGTTTTGCAAATATTTTCTTATTCTCTTTTTCTAGTGCCCTTAATTTTTCTTAAAAGGGTTTAGGGTTACTGTTGTGGTAATAAATGAGGTGTGTGATGTGAATGAAAGAAGAGGTGGTAGGAAGTGAGAATTATGAGGATAAGGAGGATAGATAATGATTGTGCCTTAATTTGAAGACACTAAGATTGTAGTGTAAAGAATTATTGGTAAAATGGTTATGTTGTATGAGGTGGGTGATATGAAGGAAAGAAAGGTGGTAAGAAAGGAGGATAAGGAGGATAGATAATGATTAACCAATTGACTTGAAGTTAAGATTATAGTGTAGAGGGTTACTGTTAAATTGGTTTTTGATGAATGAGGTGGGTGATGTGAATGAAAGAGGAGGTGGTAGGAAGTGAAGGTTATGAAGATAGGAAGTATAGTGTTTGACCCTTGACCTGAAGAGGTCAAGATTATAGTGTAGAGAGTTACTGTTAAAATGATTATGATAAATTAGCTTTGTGATATGAATCAAAGAGGAAGTGATAAAAACAGAAGATTATGAGGATAGGAAGTATAGTGTTTGACCCTTGACCTGAAGAGGTTAAGATTGGAGCATAGAGGGTTACTGTTAAAATAGGATGAGTGAAGTGTGTGATATGAATGAAAGAGGTGATGGTTAGACATAATATTATGAGGATAAGGAGGACAGACCCTTGACCTGAAGAGGTTAAGATTTTAATGTTCAGGGAAGCACTCTTGTAGGATTATGTTTCACAAAGTAGCAGTTCTTGGGGAGAAAAATTGAGTGAAACTTTCTTATATTTCAAAGACAGGGGAAATGAAGGTACATGGTGTCAAGAATTTTGTTTAGTTTTCCTATACTAGGAGGATTTCTTTGGTAACGAAGAAAAGAATACGGAGCTATTACATAACATTTGTCCTTCTTTACGGCAGTGAATGTTGGATAATTTCCTCAAAGATGAAGAGACTTGAGGTGATGGAAATGTGATTCTACAGAAGGATGCTAAGGATATCATAGACCAAGTGTGTAAACAACGACGAGGTCTTAGAGGAAGAAACTTATACTTAACATCAGGAAGAGGCAGCTGAAGTTTCTGGGACATATAATGAGGAAGGAGGGGCTAGAGAATCTGATACTCATGGCTCGAATCGAGGGAAATAGAGACAAGGGAAAACAATGCATGATATACCTGGCGAACTTAAGCAAGTGGATGACAGAATGTGGTCTGGGGGAGGTGGCAGAGGAAAAGAAGTTGTTGAGAGCTGCAAGGGATACAGGGATGTGGAGAACCACGATCGCCTATGTCCTGAAAGGACATGGCACATAAAAAAGTAGTGTTTTGAATGAGTGTGTAATGAGGTTTTGGAGAAGATGCAAACAAAGAGGAGGCTTATACTTAACATCAGGAAGAGGCAGCTGAAATTTCTAGGAGGGAGAAAGGACGGGTTGGAGAATTTGATACTCACAGGTCAAATTGAGGGAAAGAGAGACAAGGGAAAACAATGTGTGATATACCTGGCAGGCTTAAGCAAGTTGATGACAGAACATGGACTGGGGAGGGTGTCAAAGGAAAGGAAGTTGTTGAGAGCTGTAAGGGATAGAGGGGGGTGGAGAGCCACGATTGCCTACATCCTGAAAGGCTATGGCAAAAAAAATTCTGTATTTATTAATGTCGTTAAAATTGTAGCCACTAATAATAAATCCTGACAGGATTTCTAATTCTCTGAGGACTGCTTCACTGTAAAACTTGAATAAGTCTGGTGAGAAGATATTATAACAAATAAAGTATTTTATTACATTTATTGAAATGATCCGACTTTTATAAATTACACTCATTTGACCTTCAGTTGTTAGATGCTTTTTGTTATGACCAAAATTTTAATAATAGTTTCTATTCTCATTTAATCTTTATGCTTTTATCAATAAATGAGATTTTAAAACATGTGTTAAAATTTGTTTATGCATAATGTATGCACTCTGGCTTATGACGTCTGAAGAAATGAACCTGAAAAAAATATGTACATCTTTTTATTGTTATATATATATATATATATATATATATATATATATATATATATATATATATATATTATTAGTGGTCAGTATATAATCGACTCTCCCGTCAAGATTAGACGTATGAGGGTCAAGCAGATCAGTTTCCAGGAAACCGACAGCCCGACACCGGCACATAAGATTTGATTATAGTGGTGAAGGCCTCGTGCAGGACCATCCACACTTTTTGAAGGGCCGAATACAGAGACCTAGTGCACCGAATGCCACAAGGTTCCCAAACGACCCTTCGCAGGTTTTGAATTCAGAGTTGTCTTTCTCCTAGACCAGTTGCCATCCAAGGCTATAGAACCCAGTCTGTTCTGCTATTTTACCCATAGCTGGAGGGAGAGGAATAGGATTCATACCTTTTCCAAGGGTATTAGCACGTAAATGAATGTAATGGATTCAACTGGAATTCGAACTTGGCTCTGCGATTCCTCAATCCAAGCCGCTATCCATTACTCCACCATGCCTCCTATATATATATATATATATATATATATATATATATATATATATATATATATATATAAAATAAATTTCAAGATAGAATCCAGGTAGAACTCAATGTCCAGGACAGAGTAAGCATATAATATAAAAGGCTCATGCACTAATATTCCATGGTTATAATTTATTACATTGGAATCATAATCACAATCCAATTCATCAGACCTACAAAAATATATATATATATATATATATATATACACACACACACACACACACACACTACACTACAGTTCAAAAGTTTGAAGCCATCCACAGAATTAGCACGAGGAGAAAAACTTGACAAGAGCTTTTTCCATCTGCCTAGGCAATCTAGGCTTCAAGCACTTTACTGAGTCAATAGGTTTGCTGGTTTCTTTTACTTTTTTCAGTACCATAGTTTTTGTTTGAAACTTTCTCTGCATAAGAGTTTTAGGTTTTGGTAAGCTTTTCATTGGTTCCATCAACAGTTTTTGTTTTCTTTCAATAAATTTTGTTCCTCACCATTTGGTAGAACTCTGAATTTCATGCAAGTGGCAACCGTCAAGCGGTGATTGAAAATGCACTGCTTAGTTTCCAATCTGCACCTGATGATTGCCATGTGCAGGAAACTTAGTTGTACAAAACGGTGAGGAACAAAATAAAAAATGTACATTTATTATTAGTATAAATTTTACCCCTGTTATTATACACTGAGAACTGTTTTACATCACCAGGACTCACTGTACAATTTATATATATATTTGGCAAGAGAGTGCAAATTTTTCTTTAAGATTTCTTGTACATTCAGTCCAGCAGACAAAAATAAATTAATATACTGTTTAATAAAGAGACAGACCATTTACTCAAATATGAGTATCCACATACACACATATATTTGAAAGAAAAACAGACCACGTTAAGGTACCATTATAATAATTTATTTCACCAGAGCCCTTTTAAAGGATGCTGGATCATCAGATAGCACTTCCAAAAATGAAATGAAATGAATATATATATATATATATATATATATATATGAGGTATATCAAAAATAGTTTTACAAACTTTGGGAGCAGGTTCCTCACACTAAAACAAGGACAAAAATCCATTTAAACATGTCTGCAAATTCTTCCTTTTTGAGCTTTTAAGTTTAAAGGAACTTTACGGTATATGGTGTTGTGTTGCTATGTAGATTAGGTTACATTTGTCATTCATGTACAGT